TAATCTCAACTGAGCCCTCACTCTTGCTAGGCAATCCTACTACACCTCCTTCATCAGCTTACTCTCCCACTCTACATAACAGCTCTTCCAAACCTTTTGATCCTTCCTCATCCCTCCCATGGCTCTCAGTCCCCCACCTTCTCAGCTGAGAACTTGAAGTTCCCACCCCCCCAAATCAAAACCATTCACCTTGAGCTCCATCTTCTCCCTCTTCCCCATCTCATATTACTTATGCTTTCTGCCACTATTACCTCCTTTACCCCTGACTCACACGATGAGGTGACCTTACTCTTTACCAAGGCTAATACTTCAGACTGATCAAGTGATCCTATTTAGTCTTGTCTAACAGATTTCTCCATCATCCCTATTCTGTCACTTATCTTCAGTCTCTCCCTGGCTACTGACTCTTTCCCCAGCTGCTTACAAACATGCCCATTTCTTCTTTATCCTCAAAATACCCTCACTTGATCTTTTCATCCCCGCTAATTGTTCCACCTTTGTCTCAAAACTCTTCAAAAAGTTCATCTACATTAGGTGCCTCCAGTTTCCTCTCAATCTTTTCTTAACCCCTTAAAATCCATGTTCAGACATCGTCATTCCACCAAAGCTATTCTCTCTAAAGTTAACAATCATCTCTTAATTGCTAAATCTATTGCCTTTTTCTTAATCCTCATTCTCTTTGGCTTCTCTTCAGTCTTTGATGCTTGATCATCTTTTTCCTGATAGTCTTTTCTCTGTAGATTTTCAGGATGTGACTCTCTTGGTTCTCCATCTGTTTACTCTCTCTGCAAGTCTCCCTATCTGAATCATCATGCAGACCATACCCTCTAAATATAGGTTTTCCACAGAGTTCTGTTCTGTACCATCTTCCCTGTTTACTTTTTCACTTGATGAGCTTATCAGTTTCCAAGGTTTTAAGTACTATCCCAATACTGACAATTCTCAAATCCAGCTGTGCTGTTCCACCTTCTTTGCTGACCTCAAGTTTTCCATCTGCAGTTGCTTTTCAGGCATCTCAAACTATCCTGTAGACATTTTAAATTCAACATATCCAAAACAGAATTCATTATCTTCCCCCCTCCTCCCAGTCATCCTTCTCTCCCAACTTCCTATTACTGTAGACAGTTACACCATCTGCCTAGTCCTTGAGCCTCATAACCTAGGAGTCATCCTGGATTCCTTACTATTTCTTACCTCCCATATCCAGTCTCTTACCAAGACCTTTGCAACATCTCTCAAATACATCCCCTTCTCTTGTCTGACACTGCCACCATTCTAGTGCAGACCTTCATCGCCTCATGCCTGGATTATTACAAGAAGCCTGCTGGGCTCAAGTCTCTCTCCACTTCAGTGCATCTGCCATTCAACCACTAAAGTGATTTTCCTAAGGTCTAAGAACTAAGACACAGGTCCAGTTATGACGTCCTGCTATTCATTAAACTCCAGTGGCTTCCTCTTGCCTCCAAGATCAAATACTTCATTTGGCTTTCACAGCCCTTTATAACCTAGTCTCTTTCTATCTTTCTAGACTTCTTACAGCTTATTCCCCATGACATGCTCTTAAGTCCAATAACATTGGCTTACTGACTGTTCCATGAACAGCCTATCTCTTGGCTTTGGACATTTTCTGTGGCTGTCCCTCATGCTTGACACTCTCCCTCCTCTGCTCCAACTACTGACCTCTCTGGCTTCCTTTAAGTCCCAGCTAAAATCCCACCTTCTACAGGGAGGCTTCCTCAATCCATCTTAATTCCAGTGCCTTTTCTCTCTTAATTATTTCCTATTTATTTTATTCATTCATTCATTTGTTTGTTTATTTATATTCATTCATTCATTCATTTATTTGTTGGTGAAACAGTTGGGGTTAAGTGACTTGTCCTGGGTCAAACAGCTATTAAGTGTCAAGTGTCTGAGCTGGATTTCCTTTTTGTTCTGCAAATAGCTTGTTTGGTAAATATTTATTTACCTGTTGTCTCTCCCACTTAGGTTGTACATTAGTGAAGGCAGGAAGTGTCTTTTGTCTCTTTTTTCTATCCCTGGTGCTTAGCATTGTGTCTGGCACATAAATAGATGCTTAATATATCTTTACTGATTGATTGATTGGTTGAGTATTGCAGTAGTATGGTGGTGGGTCTCCTTGCTTCAAGGCTCTCCCCACTCAACATCCTCCATTCAGGCACCAAAGTGCACCTGAATGAACTAAATGTTCATGTGACCCCCTACTCCATAAATTCCAGTGGCTCTCTATATCTTCCAGTATCAAATATGAAATCCTCTGGCATTAAAAGCCCTTTATAACCTAGCCCCCTTCTGTTTTTCTAATCTTCTTAAACCTTATTCCCCATGACATAATCTAGTGATATGGGCCTTCTTACTATTCTACAAACAAGACAGTCTATCTCTTGGCTCTAGGCATTTCCATTGGCAGTCTTCCATGTCTGGAATGCTCTCTCCTCATCTCTGTCTCACAGGAAACTTTTCCCAACTTTTCTTAATTCTAGTGCCTTCTCTGCATTAATTATTCCCATTTTTCTTGTTTGTACCTTTTTTGTACCTATTTGTGTATTTTTTTGTCTGCTCCATTAGAATGTGAACTCTCTGAAGGCAGGGACTGTCAGTTTACTCCTTTCGTATCCCCAGTGCTTTGACCCATAGTAGGTGCTTAATATATTGTTTTTGCCTGATTGACAGATGCCTTCTGTTATTATTTCTAGCTTCTGTTATTATTTCTAGCTTCAATCTTGTCTCACTTGAAGAGATGGCCTTCTATTCCATCTCCTCTAGCAATTTGCCCCCTTTCTTATCCTCTCTTTCACTTATATTCAGTCTCTGTCTACTGCATGCAAACATGCCATTCTCTCTTCATTCTCAAAAACTCTCACTTGATCCATCTATACTTTATAACTTGTGTCTCATATCTCTTCAGTATTTTGTGGCTAAACTCCTTGAGAAAGTCATCTACAATAAATACTTCCACTTCTTTTTCTCTCAGTCTCTTATCCAGTCTGTCTCAGCTGGAATGTTGCTGTAGTTTGCTTCTTGGTCTCACTGCCAGAAGTCTTTCCTCACTCCAATCCATCTTCTTTTTTGTTGTCAAACTGGTCTTCCTAAAGTGCAGATTAGACAATGTCTCCGTACTCAATAAACTTCAGTGGCTTCCTATCATTTCCAAGATCAGAGATAAAAATCCATTCTTTGAACAGAGCCCCTCATTCCTGATTGTAGCGAGCTTCCCTTTTCCCCACCTTCCCTTCCAATCTTCCTATAATTTAAACCCTATCATGAATACTGTGATCCAGTGACACAGGCTTTTTTGTTGTTCTCAAAGAAGACACTGTACCCCCCCCACTCTGCATTTTCACCAGTTATCTCCCATGCATAGCATGTTTTCCTTCACGACCTCTAAATCCTATGGCCCTGCCTTTTTTCAAGTCCCACCTAAAATCCTACATTCTACAGGAAATTTTTCCTGATACTTCTCAATTCTAGTATCTTCCCTATGTTGTTTATTTCCAATTTGCCGTATATAGCTTGTTTCTACATAGTTGTTTGCGTGTTGTTTCCTGTATTACTATGAGTTCTTGGAGAATAAGGACTGTTTTTATGTTCCTTTGTATTCTTGGTGCTTGTATCTGGCACACAGTAGGTATTTAAAATGTTAAGTAAGTGGTTGTTAGTAGGTGTTAATACATGGTAGGCATGTGATACATGCTTACTCTTCTTATCTTACAGTCAGAGCTTCTCAGATTTTGAAGGGGTCTCAGAGATTATTTAGTCTAATATCTACCTGGTCATCTAGCTTTTGCTTGATTTTTCCACTTGTGGACAGCTCTGATTGATAGGGATTTTTTTCTCATACATCCTTTTTGTGTCGTTGGTATTTGTCCATATATCTTTTTTTTTTAACTAGATTGTGAACTTTTTGAGAGAAAGATCTGTATCTCTGGCTTTTAGTGAGGTGCTTGGTTATACTTTGCATTTGATAAATGTTTGAGTCAAGTAATAAAAATTTGGCATTCCATTAATGCTAAAGTATTATAATGCAACATTTAAAAATTATTTGTTACAAATATATAACCACTTGAAGGTTTAAGAAGCATATAAAACAGAGTAAATAAAAGCCTATGTACATGAGGAATTTGCTACTTTGTTTTCAGAAAATATTGGTGGGCTCTGTTGGAGTGTAAAATATTGATGTGTATATATATATGTATGAAGTACATATATATGCATACATATATATGTATATATGAAGATGACTGATAAGATAAAACACTTTCTTCAAAATATGTCTTTGTGGATATTGTTTTTGAATGTCTTTGAACTCTGTATTGGTACAAATTCCAGAAAAGCTCATTTGCCCTTGTGTTTGAAAGATGATTTGCTCTCAGATTTCTGTATCCGTACATTATTATATAAATTTTGTTATATCTACAAAATAGTTATTTCCTGATATGTGAAATTTTAAATACTTATCCTCCTATAAACCTCCAAGGAAGAAATCTGTACCTACCAACTACCCATTGCTACTATGTATTATCTTTTTCTGTAGACAGACTGCCGTGGGTCATTATCGTTACAGTATGCACTATGTTTTCATACCTCCAACTTATGCCATCACCTTTCCTGGGAATGTCCTGTATTTCTGCTAATTTAGCTTAGTTGTCACCTCCTTAGTGAAACCTCTGGTCATACTGGATATCATCTTTCTCTCTCCTTTGAGCTAGTAGTTGACTCTGACACCCATGTGATACTTATCATATGGTTATTTATATATTTGCATTAGTCAGTCATTAAGTATTTATCTCTCCTTTGAGAATGTCTGCCTCTTCCTTGCTCCCCCACAACACATTATATAGTGCCTTGCATATATTTGGTACTCAGTAAATTAATATTTTTGATCAAAGGAAAAGTACCCCAGTTCCTATACACTCTGGTTAATACTTTGTGTTATTTTGTAAATTTATTTTAGAATAATGGATTTTTTTTTCTCTCCCCAGTGCTTTGGTAATTGTTACAGTGTTTGATCGTGATGTTAACTGCAGAAGAGCTGCGTCTGTAAGTCTTCTAAATGTTATGTTTTGCTTTTTTTTTCCCCTGAGAATTTCATCTTGTGCATTTTTATAGATAGCCATCATAGCAAAGTGGATAAAAAACTGACCTCTAAGACATGCAGACCTAAGTTCAAGAAGACCTGGCTTCAGTTCCCAACTCTAGACTCTTACCCTGTCTCTGTGAACCTTTGCATGTTTTAACTTTTGGTGCTATGTTCAAAGCTCTAAGTATCTCTAAGTTGCAGAGAAAGTGCTGACTTGCATTAGAAGACAAGTTTCCTTACATGTGAGTTCTCTATGACAGTGAAATCAGATTTATTATTCTTATCCCATTCCCTAGCTTCTTCCCTATTTGTACAGGGCCATTACATTAACTCGACATGACCTAAATCCAGTGTCCGTTGTGCCATGGTGATAATTATTTATCATTTCGTCAGTATGGATACATAGTTACAATTTTTTGGTTATTAGGCAGCATACTGTAGTGGATAGAAAACAGATCTTAGTGTTAAGAAGACCCATCCTCAGGTCTTGCCTCTGACACATATGTTACAAAGAAGGTGATGATCTATATTGGTAGGGGAAGTTCTTCATAGGCATATTGCTACACTTCATAAAATTACAGATATTACCAAAAACACAAATCAGTTAATCATTAATTCTTACTGGGTACCTGTTACTTGTTTAATATTATGCTAGGAGCTATGTGAGAGGAAACAGTGAAAACATAAAATATGTACACAAGTGAAATTTGAGTATTCTTGTTTTTTTTTTGGCTAGGCAATGGGGTTAAATGACTTGCCGAGTCACACAGTTAGTAAGTATTATGTGTCTGAGGTCGGATTTGAACTCAGGTCCTCCTGAATCCGGGGCTGGTGCTCTATCCACTGTGCCACCTAGCTGCCCCTAAATTAAAGTATTCTTAAGTGTTAAACTCTCTGGTGCTAACTGTAAGCATCTGCCTCTTCCTTGCTCCCCCACAACACATTATATAGTGCCTTGCACATATTTGGTACTCAGTAAATTAATATTTTTGATCAAAGGAAAAATACCCCAGTTCCTATACACTCTGGTGCCCCTAGCTGCCCCTAAATTGAAGTATTCTTAAGTATTAAACTCTCTGGTACTGACTGTAAGTGTTCTCAGAGTTCAAAGATGTGAGTAATAAATGTATGCTACAGTAATTGGAAAATTCTTCACTGAGGAGATTTAATTTGAGGTGACCCTTGAAGACTACAGAATCTATGTTTAAATTGTACAATCACCCCATCTTTGTTAAGAGACCTCAAAAGCCATCTAGCTCAACAATTAGCTGAACTAGAATTCCCCCTTATAATTTATTCAACTAGTAGTTAGCCAGCTTGTATTTGAAAACTTTAATTGAGATATTTTATCTCACAGACTGTTGCCTCTGTAGTCATAGATACACTGCCTTTCTTAATGAAGCCTAAGTTTCTATTAAGCCCATTTGATTGGCTAAGCCCTAGGCTAGGCACAGGATTCTTGGACCCTTAAATGGAGATTCATTCTGAAGTTTATTTAGTTAGAAAGCCTTTGTTAACCTAGCAAGATAAGGTACTGGACATCTAGATCCTTTCTCAAGCTTAACTGTCAAGAATTCACACTCTGTTGTAGAGAGCAGAATTCTGTTGGGCTGGCCACATTTAAATTCCAAATGTGTTTTTTGCCTAAAAGGCTATTTTACAGAGAACTCACACAAGGGAAGTACTCACACAGAGTTCAGAGGAAGAACACTTTCAGGGTCTCTGACGAACTTTGGAATTGATTGTGGAACACGGGAGACACTGGTATAGGACTAGCCTGTGTGGCATTCCTGCACCAAAGAAGGCATGGTGCTCTATAAGCAAAGCAGAATTATTGTAGCACAAAAGAAACCTGAGATGCATAAATTTAGAGACATCTCCACTCTAAATGTTCATATGGATTACTGGTGCCCAACCAGTGGTAGAGTCTTCTAGGCTCAGATGAACTACAGTTGGTCATACTGTAACTTGACCCTTGACATCGTGATGTCATTTGGGTCCTCTTTGAGCATGAAGGACAGCAACTAACCAACTATGTGCCAGGCATTGGACTAAGCCCTAGGAATACAAAGGAATGCAAAAGACAGTCTCTGTTCTGAAAGAATTTATAGTCCAGTAACTATGCAGTAACTATGTAGAACAGGCCTGCACAACATATGGCCTGCAGGCTGCTTCAGGCCTGCCAAAGGATTTTGGGCAGCCTGTGAAAAATGTAGAGGATGTAACAGAAAGTATATGGCAAGTGCTTTTTCCATGCCCCACTTAACTGTGCCCATCATGTAACTTGGCAGGGGGTTGCAGTGGCACACTCTGTCCTGTTTGTCCTGTGACAACAGGTTTGTCTCTAGTCTGAGAGGCATGAGAGTCATGTTTTTGCTGTGTTTTTGGTTGTTAACCATTGTTGAACAGGGACAAAGTGAGTGCAGCTATACTCCAACATAGCTGACATCTGCTATGCAATGAGAGGCAATAAACCGAGGGCTTCTTCCCTCCCTTGCTGCATGGCTGCCCTCCTAGTTATGTGAGTGTTGGGAGCTCTCTCCAATGTTAGATACTCAGTTCAGTATTTCTTTGTATGTGAGCAGTTCCTGTGGAGATTTTTTTTGGTTCTAACATTAAAGTTTTTGGGGTGACTTTGTAAAATGTGTGATAAAAAGAAATGGAAGATTGAATCAGAATACAGACTGTTTAATCTGGAGTGGACAAATGGATACTTGTTTACATGCACAGGAGACAAAATATCGTGCCTTGTTTGCCAAGAATTAATAGGTTTTCTAAGGAATACAATCTTTGTCGCCATTTTGAATCACAACATTCTGACTTAAGCAAATTGGGCACCAATGAAAAACAAATTAAAGCATCAGAATTGTTGAAAAATTTTAGTGGGGAACAATGGTTTTCCAAGAAAGTAAACTCAGAAAATGAGGTGGCTACTAAGAAATAGATTTCAAACATGATTCCGAGTACAATAAACTGATTGCTAACAAGAATTGTTATATGTCCCATTAACTAAATGTAAACAGTAAGAAAACCTGAAAAATGTATTAAAACTTGTAGCATTTAGCAAAGTAATTTTTTAACATTAATGTGATTTCATGATAAATAAAAATCTTAATAAGTGTAAGTAATTGATATGTATTGAGATTTAGTAGTTTAAATCATTAATTATACCTTTATTTGGAAAATGAGCCACTAGAAACCTATCTGCTGCCTGAAGAAATTTAGCTATTTTAATTTTGGCCACTACCTACTGCCAAGTTGTGAAGGTCTGATGTAGAAACACATTATATATGGGATAAATTGGAAGCCATCACTAGTGGAAAGGTCCTAGCTTTAAATTGGATTCAGAAAAGCTTTTTGTTGAAGGTGAGATTTTAGCTGGGACTTGAAGGAAGCCAGGATAGCTAGAAGGGAGACATAACAAGGGAGAACATTCCATTCATGGGGGACATATAATGAATGTGCTTGGAGTCAGGAGGCAATGTTCTGTGGGAGGTACAGCAAGGGAGCCTGCATCATGGGATTGCAGAGTTAAAATTTAAGAAGGCTGGTACTGAGTAAGGTTTAAGAAGGCTGGAAAGGTTAGGGGGAGGGGCAGGTTATTAAGGGCTTTCATTGAGAATCAATTTTATATTTGATTCTATAGATGGTAGGGAATTGAGTGGGTCACATGGTAAGACCTTCACTTTAGGAAGATCAGTTTGGTAGCTGAGTGGAGGATGGACTAGTGTAGGGAGAAAATTAGGCAAGGAGACAGTCAGAAAGTGCTAACGGTATCAGGAGAGAGAAAGAGGTGGTACAGGGAGATGTTATGAAGGTAAACTCTACAGGACTTGTCAGCATATGGGGTGTATTGGGGTGAGTGAAAATGAAGTCTTGAGGATGAGAACTAGGTGACTAGAAGGATAGTGATAATGTTTTTTGTAATTGGAAAGCTTACAATTCAAGGTGAGATTAAGTTTGTTCTCTATGGAACAAATGTTTTAGAGAACTTAGTGTCAGGGAACAGGTAACTTTAGAGTGGGACATTGTGGGAAGGTTGGATTGTAGGGGATGGAGAATGGAGTTTGAGTCATGATTGCCAGGAGTTCAAAATCCCTGTGATGGAGAGGTTATGACTAAGTGGGAGTTTGTAATTAAGAAATTAATTTGAGTTATCACATCCTAGGCCTTTAGCCTTCAGGTAAAGTTTTCTCAGGGTGTTAAGCATCTCAAGTTACCTGGAACCAGGACTTAACTAGTCTTAAGGACTCTGCATTCATCATTGATTGGCCAACCTTAGGTCCCTTATAGTTGTTACAGACATTCTACAATTAAGGTTTTCCTGGAGTACATATAGAGAAACTAGGTGGTCTTTACATACAGATATTTTCTCCTTTTTGGGGATTTCTAGTTGTGCCTTAATTTTTCATATTCTTTACAAAGTGTTTTCTTTGATTTACTAAGCTCTCCTGCTTTACTGGGATAATTTATTCTTTGTACTACACAGTTTTTATTTATTGATGATTTCATATATATATATATATATGAATATATATATTCACATATGTATAGCTCTAGAAAAACAGACTTTAAAAAAGTTAATTGTGATTCAAATATTTAAAAATTCAAATTCAGAGCTACCTGACTTTGCCTTTAAACCCAAATCACACTGGCTTTCATTGAATGGCCAATAATAGGCCCCAGCCCAAGCCTTTGTTGTTCCTTGTTTGGAATTTGATGGTTTAGTGTATGTGCAAATAGCAGTTGTTTTCTGTTCCTTCTAGAAACTCTGAGGGTCTTTCCCCTTCCTGATTGATTCTTTTGTGATGGTAAACTGGGCCATCTTTTATCTCTATTTGTACTTAGCCCCTAATCATTGAATGGACTTTGGCTCAGACAAAATGAAATCTGGAAAGGACTTTAGTTTAAAAAGGCCAAGGTCATCCACTGCATCCTGGGCCATTGCCAATCTTGACTGTGGTCTTGCCACTGGACTTTGATGACTCTGGAAGAGAGACTGAGGCTGATGACTTCACACAACTCTGCTACATTTAATTTATATATGAAGAAAAAGACATCACCCATATAATTTTACCATTTTTGCCTACCTCAAAGTCCTGGTTTGCAGTGATGTCAGACATTTTCAATGAGGACGAAAATGGCATCATGGTCAGCTACTGCACTGATCGTAAATTCTTCAACTTGAAAAGGCTGCAAGCCAAGACTAAAGTGGAGGGAGAATTGGTGCATGATGTTTTGATCACAGATGATTTTGCACTCAGTGTAGCTTCTGAGGCTGAGATACAGCAAAGTATGGATTGGTTCTCTGTTGCTTTTGCTTATACTAATTTGGCCTAACAATACCAAGAAAATACCCGTGCTCCATCAGCCAGCCCTGCAGTATCCATGTGTGGAGCCATGGTTATGGCAGTAGAAATATTGAATGCTGTAGATAAGTTCACTTACCTTAGCAGTATACTTTCCAGGAATGTACACATAGCTAATGAAGTTAAACACATGTATTGTCAGAGCTAGTTCAGTATTTGGTAGGATCTTAAAGAAAATGTGGGAGAGAGGAGATAGTAGACGACCTACTAAACTGTAGGTCTACAAAGCGATGGTGCTGACCTCATTGTTGTCTGTCTGTGAAATCTGGACAATCTACAAGCACTATGCCAGGAAACTGAATCACTTCCATTTGAATTGTCTTAGGAAGATTCTGAAGATCACCTGGCAAGAGAAGGTACTGGACACTGACGTCCTTTCTCAAGCTTAACTGCTAAGCATTCAAACTCTGCTGCATAGAACCCAGATCTGATGGTCTGGCCACATTATTTGAGTGCCAAATGTGCATTTGCCTAAAAGACTATTTTATGGAAAACTCACAAAAGGCAAGAACTCACACGGAGGTCAGAAAGAAGCAATACAATGATACAAAGTCTCTCTGAAGAAGATTGGTGTCAGTTATGAGACGTGGGAGACACTGGCACAGGACAGTCCAGTATTGCATGCCCACATCAAAGAAAGTGCTGTGTTCTATGAGAGAAGTAGAACTGCAGTAAGTCAAAAGAAACATGAGATGCACAAATTTAAAGACATTTCCCCTCCAAATGTTCATGTAGACTATTTGTTCCTGATGTGTGGTAGAGCCTTCTGAGCTTGTATTGATCTGATCAACCCCAGTTGGACTCACTGTACTTTGATTCCAGCATAGTGATGTCATTTTGGTTCTCTTTAAGAATGAAGGACAACAACCAACCAAGATCTGATATTGCTAGATCTCCTTCCTTTACATATTTTCCATTAATTCCTTTGGTATTCTTGACCTTTTGTTCTTCCAGATGAATTTTGTTATTATTTTTTCTAGCTCTATAAAATAATTTTTTGGTAGTTTGATTCATATGGCACTGACTAAGTAAATTGATTTAGGTAGAATTGTTGTTTTTATTATATTGGTTCAGCCCAGACATAAACAGTTATTTCTCCAGTTATTTAAATCTGACTGTGTAAAAAGTGTTTCATGATCGTGTTCATATCATTCCTGGGTTGGTGTTGGCAGATAAAGTCCCAGGTATCTTATATTGTCTGCAGTTATTTTAAATGAAATATCTCTTAATATCTCTTCTTGCGGGGCTTTGTTGGTAATATATAGAAATGCTCATCTTTTATGTGGGTTTATATACTACTAAATTATTCATTTTTTCAACTATAGCTTCATTTCCTTATTGCTTATTCTGATTCTTTCATTTTTTTTTTCTTCTCATCGCTATTGCTAGCATTTCTACTATAATATTGAAGAAGAGTGGTGATAAGGGGCTGTCGTTATCTTTTACATGAAGTGTTTTCTGGTCCCCTAACTGTACTCCTTTTTACATAACCTTATTTTTATTGGTTTTTATTTTGTATATATTTTAACATAGGCATGTTTTTTCCAGTAGAAGGCAAACTCCTTGAAAGTTTAATGTTTCATTTTTATCTTTGTTTCCTCATTGTCTTTCTCATAGGCAATTAATAAATGCTTAATTGGTTATTGATAACTTTGCCTTCTGTCCTGTACTTAAAATCTGAAATGAATGCCTTTTGGACATAGCTAAACTTGATTGTTTGAGAGAGAAGAGACAGACGAGAAGGGAAAACAAGGAAAGAGAAGAGAAAAAGACAGAAACAGAGAAAAGGACAGAGACCTACAGTCACAGAAGGAGAGAACTTAGAAGTAAACAGGAAATGTTCTCTAATTACTTATTCCTTGTCCATACTACAATTTTCAACCAGGTTATGTAACCACCAGCCTGACCAGATATGCTTGCCTAATTTGGCTAAAAGTTTGGCTCTTGGTAAAAAATTTACCCTGAACAAGTAATAAAAGTTTAAGCAGTTTGTTTCTTTTTTTACATGAAGTCAGTTTATATTTTCAAAAAAGATCTTTAGCATATTTGTTTCTACACTCATTCCCTGATTGATTAAAGGTGGAACGGATTAAAGGTGGAGCTATATTGATTTTATTGTTCCCAAAATAACTGACATTCAGAAATCAATTATTATAATAAAGAGTGATATTTTAGCTTAAATTGATAGGAAATGTTTTCATATTACTCATAGCTAATTACAAAATGTACCAAGCCCTTCTCTTGAAGTAAAATTTCTTAACTTTTTTAATTGAGAGATACTACACACATATGCTTTTCACTGAACTGATAAATAAAGGAAGAGCACTGTTTTAATTCTGTAGCCTTGGATTAGCTTTCTCCAACTGGTGTGAACTCGGGTTTTAGCAATCAAAGGACATTGTTCTGGATAGGCCAGTTCTTAATAAACGTGCATTCTTAAGTTGTTGTCATGCAGGTCATAAAAACAGGAATGACAAACAACCCTTGAGGCTCTGTGCATCTAACAATGAGGACTTTATTTCAAAAAATGAAGCCATGGGTCATTTAAAGTGCTTCATGTTTGTTTTGAGTTTATTGTCTGATGTTTAGCAAAAAGCAAACCTGACTCATTTTGCTGTGTTTGTTCTCCTTGTTCTCTAGGCTGCTTTCCAGGAGAATGTTGGAAGACAGGTATGGTAACTTTTTTGAATCTTCTTTCATTAAACTTCCTGTATCTCTGTTTCTGAACACTAAAAGATATATAGCTGGACGCTATTGTCCTTCATTAGAATTATTGAAATATGTCTCAAGTAAAATATGTATTTAATAATACAATTTCTGCTAAGCAGTGCCTTAATGCTTTACTTAATTCCCCATTCATCTCTCATTCCTAGGGTTAAACTTCTCAATTTTAGGCAGCACTTTAAGATGATGAAGGCTTCGAATGTCAGGCTGAGGTCTTATGCAGGTGGTGCTAAAATAGTATTCAAGTATTTTAACATAATGGAAGTGGTCTTTTAGAAGGACTTATCAGGTAATAGAGTTCAGGAAGAATTGGAAGGGACAAAGAGAAATCAGTTATGAGGCTATTGAAATAATTTTGGTGTAAAAATTAATCAAGGCCTAGCCCTAGCCTATATTGGTAGCAATGGAATTGAAAAGCAGAGTATTTATATGAAATATATTTCTTTTATAAAATAAATTTTTATTGATATATTTTATATTTCGAATTGCTAGAATTTCTCCCAGTATCCCATCTCATGCTGGCCACCCCTGTCCTTGTTATCCCATAGAACTAACTATTTTATAAAGGAAAAAGAGAAAGAAGAAAAAATTCTCGAAAATTAATTCATACATCAAAAAATTCTGGAAACAAATATAATGTGCCCCAACTGGGGATCTCTCACCTCTACAAAAGAGTGGGATGGGGGTGTCATCTCATTTCTTTTCTTTGGGGCCATGGTTTGTTCTTTGTAACTTCACAACATTTATTTCTGATTGTTTTGTTATTGTACTTTTTATTTACATTGTATATATTGTTTTTGTTTTGCTTAGCTCAGTCTGTATCAGATCATGTAAATCTTTTCATGGTTCTCTGCATTCATCTTTTTCATTTCTTATTGCACAGAAATATTCCCTTAAATTAATATACTACCAGTTTTTTAGCCGTTCTCCAATCACTGGACATCTACTCCCACCATCCGCACTTCTTTGCTACCACAAAAAGTTTTGCTACAAATACTTTGGTATATACAGAAACTTTCATATCAAGATCAATGACCTCCTTGAGGTATAAGCCTAGTAGTTTATTTTCTGGGTCAAAGGCTGTCCTATGATAGGACCAGCATTTTCCTCATGCAGCTTCCCTGACATCTCTGATACAGCTGAAAGCTGATTAGTTTCAGCTTTCTGGAATCAGCTTTTAAGGCTGGGGCTATAAATGGTCCCAGCAGAATATAGTTGGGGCCTTTCAGACTTGGTGGGAACCTGAGTCCTCTTGAGTTGTGTTTCCAGATGTAAATAAGGAGGGCCATATCTAGAGAAGCTAAGAGCCACTTTATCCTCACTGTATTCTTGCTCTGTTGGGGCAAAGTAAACCTTCTCCTTTGTTAAATGTTTAACTGCCTCATTTCCTCCTAATATCAAACATGAACTAAGGGTGCTGGAATTATTCCTATGCCTATGAGAAAAGGTATGGGCATTTTAGTCACTTTATTTGCATAATTCCAAATTGCTTTTCAGAATGGCTTTACTGATTTACAACTCCACCCACAATGTACCAATCGATATACCTAACATTGACTGTTAACATTTTTGCCAGTTTGCAGGTTGTGGGGCGAAACCTTAGTGTTGTGCTGCGAAACCTTAGTGTTGCACTGATTTGCATTTCCCTTACTATTAATGATTTGGGTTATTCTTTCATGTGATTATTTTGGTTTACAGTTATTATTAAAGATATTTCTAAGGAAGAATTTCCTGGATTTAAAATAATTTTGAGAGACAAATTAATTGTCAAAGATGATTCCATGATCTTGACACTGGTCAGTCAGAACAGTGGGGCTTCCTTTGACAAAGATAGGGAAATAACAAGAGAGAGGATAAAGGAATCAGATTTGAGGAGAAAGTGAATACCATTTGGAACATGAATTTGAAAAGTGACAGAGGGGAAATGTCAGAGTGGCAGTTGGAGACACATTATTAGAATTTTGGTCATAACTGGATGTATGCTTTATGGAGTCATTTAGTTATAGATATAAATTCAAACCTTGTTCGAGATCTTTGTCAAGAGAATGTAGATTGAAAGCAAAGAAAACAGAAAGGGCTGAGATCTCAATTGTAGGAAATATCAGTGGAGTAGAAGAGGAGGCAACAAAGGAAGAAAGCATAGAATCTAAAGAAGCAGAGACATTTTAAAAATAAAGGGTAGTCAGCTTAAATTCTGCAAAAAAGAGGTCAGAGAAGATGAAAACTGGGAAAAAGTTGTTTGGGTTTATAGATTATAGGACATCGTTGGACTTTTAGAGGGTAGTTTTAGTTGAGCCCGGGGACAAAAGCCAAACAAGGAATATGTGTTAAAGAAATAGAAGATTCAGATATTGACCATTTGTTTAGGAAGTTAAGAGATGAAATGGAGAAAAATAGAAAGGAAAAAGAGTTGACAAAAAGGATAAGTGAAATTTTTTCCCTATCCATGGGACACAGCCAAAACAGTACTTAGGGGAAGTTTTATGTCTCTAAATAGAGAAAGAGAAGATTAATGAATTGGGCAGGCAACTAAAAAACAAACTAGAGAATGAACAAATTAAAAATCCCCAGTTAAAAACCAAATTGGACATCCTGAAAATCAAAGGGGAGATTAATAAAATTGAAAGTAGGAAAATCATTGAATTAATAAATAAAACTAGGACTGATTTTATGAAAAAAAATATAAGGTAGATAAACTATTGGTTAATTTAATTTAAAAAAAATGAGAAAACCAAATTACCAGTATCAAAAATGAAAAGGATAATAAATTCACCACCAGTGAAAAGGAAATTAAAACAATTGTTAGGAGCTAAATCTGACAATCTAAGGAAAATGGATGAATATTTACAAAAATATAAATTGCCCCGATTAACAGAAAAAGAAATTGAATAAGCCATCAGTGAGCTCCATAAGAAAATATCCCCAAGGCCAGATGCATTCACAAGTGAATTCTACCAAACATTTAAAGAACAATTAATTCCAATACTGTATAAACTATTTGGAAAAATAGGCGAAGAAGGAGTCCTACCAAATACTACCTGCAATGGTGCTAATACCTCAAGCAGGAAGAGTGAAAACAGAGAAAGAAAACTATAGACCTATTTCCCTAATGAATATCAATGCAAAAATTTTAAATAAAATACTAGCAAAGAGATTACAGTAATGTATTATAAGATTCACATACTTTAACCAGATGGGATTTATACCAGGAATGCAGGACTGGTTCAGTGTTAGGAAAACTGTCAGTATAATTGATCATATCAATAACAAAACCAATAGAAATTATATGATTGGGGGCACCTAGGTGGCGAAGTGGATAGAGCACTGGCCCTGAAGTCAGGAGTACCTGAGTTCACATCCGGCCTCAGACTAAACTCTTATCACTTACTAGCTGTGTGACCCTGAACAAGTCACTTAACCTTAATTGCCTTAAAAAAAAGAGAGAGAAAGAAATGATATGATTATCTCATAGATATAGAAAAAGGTTTTGATAAAATACAGTACCCATTTCTATTAAAAACACTAGAGAACATAAGATTAGATGGAGCTTTCTTTAAAAAGCAGTAAGTGATAAAATGTAGTTTTAAAGTAGGAAATGGTAAAAAAAAAAAGGTAGTAAATGATAAAAAGCCATCAGCAAATGTTATCTGTAATGAGGATAAGCTAGAAGCCTCCCTGGTAAGATTCGAGGGTGAAGCAAGAATGCATGTTATCAACACTCTTATTCTGTATTGTACTAGAAGTGTAATTTATAGCAATAAGAGAAAAAAAGGCAATTGAGGAATTAGAATAGGCGATGAGGAAACAAACTATCCCCTTGCATACAATATGATGCTATGGTTGGAGAATCCTAGAATATTAACTAAAATGTTGAAATAATGACAACTTTAGCAAAGTTGCAGGATATAAAATAAACTCACATAAATTATCAGCATTTTTATTGCAAACAAAGTCCTGTGGGAAGAGATAGGAAGAGAAATTTCATTTAAAATAACTGTAGGCTATATAAAATACTTGAGAGTCTACCTTCTAAGACAGACCCACATAATTACAAAACACTTTTCACACAAAGAAAGTCAAATCTAAACAGTTGGAAAAATATTAATTGCTCATGGGTAGGCTGAGCCAATATAGTAAAAATGACAGTTCTGCCTAAATCAGTTCACTTATTTAGTACCATACCAGTCAGACTGCCAAAAAATTATTTTGTGGAGTTACAAAAAATAATACGAACATTCATCTTGAAGAACAAAAGCTCAGGAATATCAAGGGAGTTAATAAAAGAAATGTGAAAAAAGAAAAGAAAAGGTGGCTTAGCCATGCCAGATTTGAAGCTATATTACAAAATGGTAATCATGAAAACTATCTGGTACTGGCTAAGAAATAGAATAATAGATCAGTAGAATAGATTAAGTGGTACACATTACACAGTAGTTGAATGTCTATAGCAATCTAGTATTTGATAAACCCAAAAACCCAAGCTTTTGGAACAAGAACTCACTATTTGATAATTGCTGGGAAAACTGGAAAACAGTATGGCAGAAGCTAGGTACAGACCAGCATCTTATACTGCCTACCAAGAGAAGATCAAAATGGATACATCATTTAGACATAAAGGGTACTACCATAAACAAGTTAGGGGAGCATGAAATAGTTCAGATCTATGAATAAGGGAAGAATTTATGACCAAAGATGAGATAGAGAGATTATGAGATGTAAAATGGATAATTTTGATTATATTAAGTTAAAAAAGTTTTAGCCCAAACAAAACCAATGCAAAATCAATGCTTAGATGAAAAGCAAAAATCTGGGGAAAAATTTTTATAGAAAGCTTCTCTGATAAAGGCTTTATTTCTCAAATATATAGAGAACTAAGGCAAATTTAAAAGAATACAAGTCATTCCCCAACAGATAAATGGTCAAAGAATATGAACAGGCAGTTTTCA